ACTTGAAGCACTTGCTGCAGAAGATCAAAGAATACAACGGTCAAGACAGATTACATCTCAACATCAAGAAAACAAAATTTCTCACCATTGGACTTATAGGCAACATCAGGAAGATGGGGAAAAGATTGAAACCATCAACAATTTCAATGAATTAGATAGATACATAGGGGATGCCACTATAGATAGATAAATAAACAGGTGTCTCCATATACATATATTAAATATATATCCAACCATCTCTCTCTCTCTCTCTCTCTCTCTCTCTCTCTATATATATATATATATATATATATATATATATAATCTCTATATATCTCTATATCTCTGTATCGTTGTTGTTGTTGTTATGTGCCATCGAGTCGCTTGCGACTCATAGGACCCTATGTACAACTGTATCTATACCATATATATATATCACTATATCCAAATAGATATGTAGATATATTTGTATTCTTGAGCCTTATATAGCAACAACAGGAAAGCAAACTCATTGGGATTAGTTACAAAGCAAGAAGTAACCCTCCGACCAAGCTCAGTGTTTCTCATTTCCTATCTGAACTCTTGACTTGGACACTTCCAGGACCTTGGATTTCTGAGCGCAGAGGCCTGGCCGTAGCCTCTGCCCGCTCAGCAGCCTCCCTTCTGCTAAATTGCCTTCTGGATTGCTAATGGTCAGCACGGGGCTTTCCCTTGTAGTGGTTTTCAAGTGAGGGTTAACTGTCTAAATTGACAGCGCCAATCTCCTTCTTCCTCCCTCTTGCCTTCCCGTGCCCCATCCCCTATTGGAAAATTTAAATTCTCAAGTTCCTTTTGAATAAAGTCTCTGTAACTTCTTCAATCTGTAGGCAAATAGTGCTGTTTATCAGTTTGAGTTTTATTCCATCCGCCGTTACCACACCTGGTGACGATGCCACATAAGATGCTGGAGCCTGTATCCAACTGTTGCCATAGAAACTCTTCCAGTATGCTCAATTACCATGCCCCACATCTGTAGTTAGTCCACAGGTTAATCATCACAATTTATGACAGTTTTGCAGAGCATTGTTTAAGCACCTATCTTGTTGGTTTGTTTTGATCATTTCCATCCTATTTCAGGAGACAAGCAGGGCTGAAATTTTCCTTTATACTGAGGCTTTGATTAGTGCAGTGAAATATTTTTCATTTAAACTAGTGTTTAAGACTAATTTTGTGTTACAATAAGCATTAATTGAAGGGGCTCTGCGTAGCCTGATTTTAAGGCAGTTCTCCAATCCTTGGGTTCAATTATGTAATTGATTTAAAATGTGTTTTCTATTTGATCCATTCAGTCTGTATCCCCTAAAAAGAAGATGTAGATATATTATGGCAGAAAGAGATGTGAAGATATGCTTTTATGAAAATAAGAAAATATTTTAATGATACCTGATTGCCCATTTTTCATTTATAAGAGAATATTGAAATCGATGATTTCTGATACAGAAATACCAAGACTGTTGGCTTCTGGGATTTCACTTGTGTTCTTCATCAATTCATGGAAATTAATGACTTACTGGCACCTGGTGAAGAACATTTGCATACAACTTTTTGCATTGTGCTTACCTGACCTGGAAAAGGAGAGGAAGGGATATTAGGGTCTCAGTTTCCAAATAGAACACTCCATTGCTGCAAATGCATTTCTCTCCCCTAGGGTCTGAACTTCAGGGAGGTTGCAAGCATTTTCTGTTTATATAGTTGTTTGTTCATAGAAGGTGAAGATTCTTTATTTTTCAAAATCTCTATTGTCATTTGAGTGCAAGCTTACAAAGTTTTTTGGATTTTCAGTGAATTATTGATACATATTCTGTTTTAGAACATCGGTTTAGATTTGCAGTGCCTGCTCACCAACTTATTTTGTGTTGCCTTTCAAATTTTTTTAAATCAACTGTTTAGTGAATGTTGCTTTTTTTCTCAGTGTCACTGTAGAACTGTGTGTTGTGGCATCTTTTTGTGATTGGCAGTAGTTAGAAAAGTTAATTGACCACCAATATGTAATTTGGAAAAGCTTGCACCATGGAAAAAACAATGATTTGGAGATAGGTAGGTAAGTAGGTAGATAGGGAGGGAGGGAGGGAGAGAGAGAGAAAATTCATCTTTTATAAATATAAAAGTAAACGATAGGCTTATGTATTTACCCATGTATTTTATTGTTAAAATGTAACTATGTTACTTAACAAAAATTACTTCTGCAAACACTGTGCAGAGAGAATCTTGAAATTTTTTTCCTTCTGAAATGTATTATTTATCCTGTCTTCAACAGATAAGTGATTAGTAGGCGTTACTTTTAACTTCTTCTTATGACCTTTTCTGGTAAGAGAAATAATGAATCAAATTCAGCAGATGTTTTTGAAAAGTAGTAATTTAGTTTCAGAAAGGCGATATTGGAAGGATTTTTCTCAGTAAGGAAAAATACAGGCATGAGGACTCTGAAATAAATTATTTAGAATACAAAATAATTTTGGGGTTTATAATAAACATACCATGTATTTTTCATTACTCTTTCACCTGCTTATCTGAGATGATTTCATATTATCATATGTTTTACTTCATTTTAGAAGACTGTCAGACAAAAGAATGAAATATAAGAGAAGCCAGAATGTCTCATTTCTCAGCTCAGGAAAAGCAGTTTAGTTTTATGTTCAGCCAATTAATTTTCATTTCCCACATGTAATATGTTTAATCATTCAAGTAGATAATTATTAAATGTAAAGGACCTCATAGGCGGCTTTTTTCCATGGATCATAATCTCACCCTTTATCTCATCAATGAACTAACTTGCTTGCTTGTTGCCTTTTGATATCTGCCATTGATGTGCTATGACTTAGTTTATCTTTTTTTTACAAAAATGTGATTCTGAAGACCCTTCAGCTTGAATTATATAGTTCTTCCATCTACAAATATGGCTGAAAGTTAAACTTGACATGGATCAATATGATCTGGGGCTAAATACCTAAATGTGACTGATTATGTTAGCATCATGTCCACAGATCAATATTGAGTTTTATTATGAGCCTGATTCTATAATTGAGTTTAATCAATAAACCTGCCTCCTTCCCTTTGCGATTTTAAGATTGTACAATACAGGTTTTTAAAACTACATTTAGAATTCTTCTCTTGCAATGACCAGATTTTATTTGCTATCATTTAATTTCAAGCAGTAATAAAAATTCAACCCACTTTTCTCTTGCTAACTGATGGCTTGCCCCAATATGGGCTATGTTTCTAGCAGCTAATGTTGTAACACCCCAACCCTCTTTGGGCGGTGTCTGGCTTTTTCTAGCTATACTTAATAATAACTCACATTGAAGACTTTGACAAAACATGCCATTAATGAAAGCAATCATAAAAGCTTGCCTTTTGATAAACCCGCAGGGTCCACAGGCGTGGAAAGAGCCAATCTTGAAAGAACAATAACTTTGGGCCTTTGATTGAAGTGCCATTTGGGACGTTGGGCTTTGTCTGCATATTTGCACAAACATGATGCTGCTTTTTTCTTGTCCTTAAACTTGAAGCTTGAGAGCATTCATTGCCATTTCTACATTAAGGTTGGTCCCATTAAAAGCTCCTCACAAAAAGAAGACTGGAAATGATCCAGCTGAATCTTGTGTGCTCATTTCTGCCCTGGTTTGCCATTTGGAAAGCAGGCTTCTAGCCACCATTGCTATTTTATTTTTTGTGCCTATGAATAGACCTGGGTCCTTTTCCAGTCAAGCCTTTCAATAAATATACATGTAAAATGCATTAGCCTTCCATAAGATTGGAAAATAAGTACATTCCTGTGATGTACATTAAAAGTAGCCCGGAAGGAAAATGGAATTTTTTTCCAAGTAATTTATGTCCTATCATCTTTATCTAGGCTTCAAAAATATGCCATTTATATGCTTATACCAAGTAAGTATAAATGGAAGATTGGCTGTGTGAACATCAGAGATAGAAATTGTGTACTACTCAAACTGTATTTGTGGATTACTTAATGTTGTTTACCGTCAAGTTAGAGTGCACTCGTAGCTGGCCCATCTGCGGGTTTTCAGAGGCACTAAATTGCACGGGAAGAGATTGCCCATTTTTCCCCAAGGAGCAGCTGGTAGTTTTGAACCGAATGCCTTTAGGTTGACAGTGCACCTCCTTTCCACTAAGCCACCAGAGCTTTCTTTGTTCATTACTAACTCAGGCGAATCAATGTGTGTGCACTTCTCTTGACTTGTACAGACGCAGATCGTTTCCAGAAACATGGGATGGATGAGTTTATTTCTGCTAATCCCGGCAAGCTGGACCACGCCTTTCTTTTTCGAATACTCCAGAGACAGACTTTGGATCACAGACTAAATGATTCCTATTCTTGTTTGGTGAGTACAAGTCTTATCTAGTGCCCCCTCCCACCTCACTCCCAAAAAAGGATCAGAATAAAAGATTTTTAAAAGCGAGAGATTCTTGCTATGAAATGGCACGCTAGTGCTGATCCATTTCATAATTGGATTTGGAGTTCAGCATAAATGATTGCAATCAGTGGCTTCGTTGAAAATGCTCCCACTAAAGGTCACCGCTATGCCACTCAGTAAACATGCACATCGGCAAAAGGAGACACCAGGCTGTGACTTAGCACTCTGCCCAGGAGAAACCAAAAAAGCTTTGGGGAAGAAAAAGACATCTTTGTTAGGATTTAATGTATTAGGATTTACTAGCACCTGGAAAACTCTAGACAAATTTGTTTTAATATTTTTATTGGTTTTCATACAGTAATTCCTTTACATTATGTTCTGTTCATATACTTTGTGTTTTATACAATCTTCCAGTCACATTGTGTTTCATACACTCATTCATTTCAAGGTTTAAATTCCACTCACTAGATGTTGATACCTTACACTTCTCTCGTTTGGTCCTAGAAAGGCATCCTAATGGACAAGAGGAAAGGTGGGCAGGGTAGATGATGTGGTAGGGCCTTAGTAGAGAGCCCCTGGATGGTGCAGTTCACACACGTGGTTTCTAGCCTGAAAGATCACTGGTTTGATTCCACCAGAAGCACCATGAAATACCTGCTTCTAAAAAATAAGCCACTGAAAACTCACGGGGCACAGTTCTCCCCTGACCCACACATGGGATTGCCCTGAGTGCGAATTCACTCAGTGGCAGTAAACCCTGGGAGTGACAGAGGCAAGCTCTGGTTCTGTGGAGCCCTCAGAAGATCATGGACTTAGGGTTTAAAAGAGAAAAAAAAAAATAGAGAAAATAATCAAGCTATACCTAAACTGTTATTTAACAAATCTGTGACCAATACTCAGAAAAAACCTATAGTTACTTTTGCAGAGGACTTCTCACAATCTTAAAATACAGAGATTAAATGTTATAATTTGTGAATTATGGGCATCTTTGCAAAGGTATATTGTCTCAAAGTAATTCCTTAGAACATCTTGTAGATTGAAGGTGACCTTTTTCTATCATTTCAGTGTCTTGGCTATGCAACGTGGTTGCTCCCAACAATAAAATTGGGTTTTATTTAAAATGTGATTTGGGGCAGGGTGTGCCCCGAAGCCATCTGAGATATTTTAGAAAAGAGGAACACATGAAATAATGCAGTGCTATGATCACACTAGCGTCTGCCCATTCCTTTGTAGACTCTAAGTACATGTTACTCTGTGAAAGTCTGTGTAGGAAGCTCATCCAGGTCCGGCTTGGCATACTAAAGCCCTGTGATAACTTCCCATGGACAAGCATGCCCAGAGCGAGTATCAGCAAAAGACAATTCTCCCAGAGTTGCTAACTTATCAGGAGTTGCTGTTTAAAGTTGTTCTATTTGTATTATTCAGGAAGACTTTGTGGTTGTCTTCATGAATAATATAAATACAGTCTAAAAGAGCACAACAGTCGGTCCTCAACTGTGTAGAGAAGGGAGCAGAACAGGTATGATTAGAAAGGGTTGAAGACAAGGTGACCTTAGATGTCAACTTATAGGATTACCCTGCCCCTTCTTATAGTTCTCCATTCTCCTTTCTTTCTCTTTATTTTATATTAACCTCTGTAAATCCACATAATATATGGACCCAATTTCCAGCTTAGTTCTACCTATCCAACCAGGCTGCACCAGATTCGAGCATGCACCCAAATGTGTCTCCTTTCATGAGGTATTGTCATACTGATCAAAGAAAAATAAAATGGGGGGAACAAATATCCCAGGGATTTAAGGGCCCAAGCATTCATACAACCACTGAACTTGAAAAAGTTTTCTATATATTTTATAAAATGCTTTTGGTTAGGAGGCAATTTCAGAGTGTCTGCTTCACTTTTCTCCTTATATAGTTGATTCACAGGGAGATTGAGATTAAAGTTTTGTTTAAATGTCATATTACTGTTTGTAATTGACAATTTAGATACTGCAGATGAGTCAGGACAGAAGAGAATAAATAATATGTTGCCCAGACCTTACTGTGTCAATATAGCAAAACTAGGAAGTGTTAGAAGGGGAGATTTGGTGCTGTAATCCCTGTGGAGTTGTCCTGCTAGCTCAAAGGCAGAGTCTGTCTGGCAGGTTGAATCCATAAGTAGCTCCTTGGAAGAAAGATACACAATCTCCTCCCCTGTTAGTTACGTCTGTAGAAACCAAGTGGAGGATCTTCTTTGAGTCAGTTCCAACTCTGTAGCAAAGAGTGATTATTAGCTTGTCAAGTGTCCCAAGCCTGAAAGTTGCTGTTGTACCACTGAGGCGGAGCCAACTCATAGCAGGTTTTCAGAGATGATAAATTGCAAGGGAGGAGGTTGCTCATCATTCTGTGGAGTGTTGGTGGATTTGAACCATGTTCCTTTGAGTTGGCAGTGCAACTCCTTCACATTAAGTCACCAAAGCTCCAACATGAAAGTCACTCCTCTTAAGAAAGCATGGCACACCACTAATGAAGGTCCAAAGACTGTACATGCGGCTGCTGTTTATTTTACACTGCCTCAGAGTGCCTATGAGAATCAAATCTTAATACACCAAGAAATCTTTCTTTCTTTCTTTGTATTTCCTTTTGCAGGGTTGGTTTAGCCCTGGCCAAGTCTTTGTGTTAGATGAGTACTGTGCACGTTACGGCGTGAGGGGCTGTCACAGACATCTCTGCTACCTTACAGAACTGATGGAACATTCAGAAAACGGTGCTGTCATCGACCCGACCCTGCTCCATTACAGCTTTGCATTCTGTGCCTCTCACGTGCATGGCAACAGGTATTTTCACTTGCAAACGCATGGTGACTTTCAGAGGGTTGACTTGGGAAGAGAGAGAGAAAAAAATATGTTTTGCCATTATCACCTAGTAACCAATTTCAAATAGCAAACACTTCTCGGGGAAAGGGGGAAAAAAATCCCACAAAGAAAAAAAATGTACATCAATATGCTGTCAATTTAGGTGGGCTGCACTAAAGGTTTCTTTCTGCCATTAAAGCCACTTGAGAGAGAGAGGTGGGATAGAAAGTCTGTGAGATTTGAAACAGCCTTTTAGTTTGTGTTACCTCCTAATGGGTTCTGCACAGCTTAAGTGTCAATATGTGTTTGTATTTTAATGCATGTGTATGCCTGGGGAGACTTCGTTAGGTTTGTTTATATCTAATGATCCTTGCTTTTCTGCTGTTGAATAAACTCTACATTGATTTACGAAAAGGAAAAAAAAAAAGACCATAAGATTTATGTTTCCTCTCTGCAAGACCTTCCCATAGTCTCCACTTCAGGAACAACTCAACTCATTGAGTCAGAACCAACTGAAACTATAATTGACCCTCCACTTGGTTTCTGAGACTGTAATTTGCACAAAAGGAAATTGTCCATCCTTCTCCTGTGGAGCTCCTGGTGTATTTGAAACCCTAAAGATGCACCCCCTTTGAGCTAGCAAAGCTGTCTGCGGACCACAGCACCAGCATCCCCTTTATTCAAGCCCTGTCTCTAATACTTTCCATCAGTGATCCCACTTCTCCTTTACCAAAACAGAATAAAAAAATCCTCAGAGCTAGACTACCCCATAATCATGTACTCCTGGGTCTAGAAATATGTCCCTACCACTCTCCCTCCCTGTCTCCAAATTGTGAGGGCTCCTCCTGTCCAGGAAGTAGCCCTCGTAAGTGTTGACAATACTTGAGTCATTCCTTCTCCCTCTTTGCACTCCTTCCTTGCTTCCTACAAACTTCACTGAGCTTCAACAAGGCTCACAACACAGCATGAGATTCAAGTGAGTCTAAGGCAGAACACAGAGGTCCAAACAGTACTCACTCAACGTTTGACATTGGTCAAACGTCAGCTTCTCCATCTTTAAAAAATGGCATAACATCTCTTTCATAAGTTGTAGTAACTGCTTACATGCAACCACTTAAAATAGTATTTAAAAAAAAAGTAGTAGCTCAGAACTCATTTTCTCCCCAGTATTTTACTTGGTCAAGGTATATTCTCTTTATCTTCTGAACCAAACTTCCCTTATGGTGTTCTCCATCTGGCTTCTGGCTCTTCTTCTCCTAATAGACTTCCTTGAAATGGCCTGCCTAAATCTCTAAGCCTAAAATTGTCTATATGCGTTTGTAGTAAATGTAGTAATTTTGGTAAAGTAGGAATATTAAACCTATTCTTAGGCTTCACTTTCTTTATCTCTTTCAAAAGGTGAGTTTTGTGGGCAGAGTGAGAGGTTGAGGAAATTAGGAAAGATCCTGTGGGGTCCTGAAAAGTGGGGTAACAATGGACGTGGATCAATGGTGACTAATTTTATTAAAATATTTATGGGAATGTGAAATGAAACACAATGTGTGAAACACTATATATATCTATATCTATGTGTCTATCTTCATCTGTATACCTATATTAGATAGATGATAGATAGATAGATAGATAGATAGACAGATAGATAGATAGATAAAGATGAGAGAGAGAGAGAGAGCAACATGGTGTATAAGAATTTTGTATGAAACCTAATATAAAATGAAATACATTTTTTAAAAGAGTTGATACCATGGACCAGCCCACGTCCCACGTTCTTAACGTGCTGTTCGTCCACCCGGAGCAGCACTCTCCAGCCTCACCTCCTGGTCCTTTAACCATCTTTACCAGTAGTTCCTGCTCCTCTTGACACATAAGTATGTCCTTCCCACTATCATCCTGAAAAAGATCCCTTCTTTCTGAGAACCTTTCTGTGTCAGTAATCATGTCACCTTCCATAGCTTCCATTATAACTCACTTTTTTTGGTAAACTCTGTTTTCTGGATCTCTGTTACAGTTGATATGTTGAATATCCTTGCTGTAACTTTAAATTCTATCTATATAAAATAAAACTCATCATTTCACTGCACGACTTCCTGTACCTTTTTTAGCTCCTAGCAAGGTACTTGGCACAAAGTAAAATGCGTGGTAAATATCTGATGGATGAATAAATGATTTCTTTGTTTGGGCTAGCAACACTTCCATTTTTGACTGATTCATTTGATTGACTCGTTCTTTTCTTCTGCCTCTTAAGGTCAGCTTATTGCTGTGTTAAATGTTCTATCTCCACAATATTCCTTTCCCTCCTCTTGACCCACACATCCATTGCTGTTACTTTCTTGTCAACTATCACTTCTTTTTCTTGCCTAAACATCTCCGTCCTTCTCTTTGCTGCACCTCTGTCGCTGTGGTGATCTATCCATTGGCATCAAAATTGCAGAACAATTTCTATTATACTCCAAGATGTTCTGTAATTCCATTTTAATGAGTCAATCAGAAATAGAATGCAAGTTATAGAATCATGTTACCATCCCAGTAAGAATCCAAAGGTGTTTTCTACATAATTTAATCCAAGTAGGCACTATGAGTGGTCAACTCAATGGCACATAAACAACAACAGCAGTTTAGTTGTTCTCTATGGACTATCTTCCCACCTCTTCCAAGTTTGTAAAAGCTGAGTGTCACAAAACTCTCCTATGAAGACTGAATTCATTCAAGCACAGAAGTTATTTCATAAGCTTTCTCAGTTATTTCATGATCTTTGCCAGTAATCATGGTAAACACACATATGCTTCTGTTCTACAGGATTGCACTTTAAAGACAAACACTAGGTCTCATTCATCTGATGTCCTCTGTAGACCCTAACGTGGTCATTCGAATATTGCTGTTTCATGATAAATATTTGCCAAAGACCCCACCACTGCCATTTTCCAGCCCACAATAAACAGGTCTGTCTCTAGTCTCAGAATCCATTCAGACTTCTAACTCCTTAGGAAACTCAGCCATGCTTGGACATTTGTAGCATGTTGCAGATTGAAGTAGTGTCCTGATAATCCCAAACTAAGCCCTGTGGATGCAGCAAGCTGAGGAAAGTAAGCAACCCGAACAGGATGGCTATTCTGTGAAAGCCACTGTCAGGGACTGTTCTCCTAAAACTATCCCATAGTTCCTGGCCCCATCTTTGTTCTCCTGAGCAATGATTACCCACAGATTGATGTCTCTCATGAGACAGCTCTGTGAAATGGGCAAACATGATTACAGAAAACCCAAGGAGTATTCTATGGCCATATAGATGTCTTTTAGTCATTGTTAGAGGAAAGGGAAATGAAATTGACAACACTGAATAAGTAAGAAATGTAGCTACCGCACTCCCAAGATGTATAGTTACTGCCACCACCGAGAAGGCAGCCTTGTTTGAATCTTCAGCTTCTCTTTGTTGTTTTGCTGCAGTGAAACTTTTGTTTTCACTCTCACGGTACTCCGTGAAGTGTAATTTGAGGCTATGTTTCTGTGTTCGTGCATTGTGTTGACTTATTATTACATATGCTTTTCCAGGAAGCTTAATGTACTTGCATATTGTGGTACCTCTGGATGATGTTTAGACCAGAAAAATGTGAGTCTCTCTTTTGATGCAACATTTTGATAATAAGTAGTTTAAGAAGAAAAATGGTTTGAGTTTCTGAGGCATTTGAACCACAAATTACCTGAGAAAAAGATTCAAGTTGTCAAGTTGTTGTTCTGTTCCTTGTAATGTTTGGTCTCACACAGATGCCATTGAGAAATGTCATGCTGCCCCAAAGAAGGGATAGGGATAAAAAGATCCCCTCCTTGCTCCTGGCTCAGGAATTGACTGACTGACTCGTCGTGGCGGAACCACTTAACCTGTCTGAGACTCAAGAGTTCTCTTCTGTCAGAGGAGGCGGAAGAAGTGAAAATGTGAAGATGCTGGAAATTGGTCAGATGAAGTATTGGTATTGAGTGTTGTTACCATTCTAAAGAGCATCTCTGTCACTCAGCACAAGGATGTAAATCCGGAGACTTGGGAAGTAGAGAGTTAGGCTCTGATGGTGTTCTCGTTGTGTACCAAGTCCAAGTTTATTTTTTTTTACTCAAAGCAACTCCATGGGCTCTAACAGAACAGAACAGAACTGCCCCACAGATTATTCATGTAGTAACCTTTACAGAATCAGTGCCATGGGTCTGCTTTCTTTCATTATTATTATTCATTTTAATGAAAATTTGTAGAGATTTTGAATTTCCATTCATCTACAACATCAACAGTCTTCCAAGCATCCTGAAAAATCTACAACCAGGAGAGGATCAAATAGATGAATGGGACCTTCTAAGAATCAAATCCCTATGCACTTCCAAAATCTTCTCCAACAGGGTAAAAAGGGACGCCACAGACTGGGAAAATGTATTTGGTAATGACATGTCTGATAAGGGTCTACTTTCTATAGAACCACTCAACTCATTGCCATCGAGTCAGAACGAATTGATGGCCAACCTTCAGTGGGTTTTTGAGACCATGAATTACATGAGAGGAGGGCACCCTCCTCTCAGTGCCGGTGGTAGATTTGAACCAACACTGAGGCACAGCCTTGGAGTTACGAGTGCAGCTCCCCAGTGCAGCAGGCCACAGCTGAGTGAGTTCCAACTGCCACCTAGCAGTTAGCAGCTGCGGCTTAACTGATGTTCTGCCGGGACCCCTTGGGGCAGTGGTATATTATCATACTCAAAACGCATTGCTCTCAAGTCACAACTCACCCATAGCTGACCCTCTAGCAGGTTGTAGAGGTTGTCAGTGACACAGGAGGAAATCACCTGTAGAAATATCTCCAGTGGCATCCACTTCCTAAACAGCGTGCCTGTAGAAACTCTATGAACTTTGATAAATGTCAATATTTGTAGAGGGCCTTCAGGCCTTTTGTTCATAGGGTTGCTATGAGTCGACTCAAAGGCCATCAACAACTGTCATTATCCCCTTAATT